AATCTTCGCCGTAACCCACCTCACCTCTTGGCGTCGCATCAAGTAAGTCAACATACGTACATACATACATACATACTTATGAGTATATTTGCTTAACTTTGGCGCACTGTTTTTTTTTTATTGTTTTTGTACATGTCACATTGTTCATATTGTTCTTGTTGTTGTTGCTAAATATTATTGCAGTTCTGAGTTCTTTTTTCTCTCTCTCTCGTCTACTTTTTTGCTTTCAACGGTGTTGGTATATTGTTAAGCTTTGTCGACTTTACAGCCACTGCCGCGCCGCTGTGGTGGCATTTTGTTGTCGTTGTCGTTTTCATTGTTTTTGTTATTGTAAGTAGTGATTGTCGTTCTCGTTGTCGTCTACTGCTGTTCAACATGCGCCAAGTATCTGAACGATGCACTTCAATGTCATATCGGATCACATCTCGTCGTATCGCATCGTCTGTAAAGCGGCTGCGGCTGCGGCTGTGGTTGCGTCCGCTTAGAGGCGGCCGGCGGCAGGAGTGTTTTGCAAAAAGGAGTAAAATAAAGTGTGTGCAGCAGCTGTGAGGGGTCGACGCAAGGGTATATGCCAGCGTGCGGGCGGAGGTGTTTCACATTTGTCTGTCTGCTTAGCTGTCTGTCCATTTGTCTACCAATCGACCGGCCGACACCGGCGTGACATAACAATGGTGTTATTTGTACGACTTTGTGGCACGGCGGCGCGTCGTAATCTGCGACAGCTCTGCGCGCGATTATTTCGCCTATACTTCGCACACACACACACACACATACACACGTAAATCAACGCATGCAATAAAAAAAGCTCGCTCAAATATGTGTGTTTTTGTGTGTGTAAGTGTTGCGCCTCCACATTGATGAATAAAGTATTTTGTCTTTCTTTTCTCGAATTTGGTTGCAAGTTGTCAGTTTCAAATTGAAGAGGATCAACAGTGAACGATCCGATGGCAGGGTTTGGTAGATTCATTACATAAATATTTGCAACCGCGACACTAATTCGCGTTCAGGCGGGGAGATGACAAAATTGTTTTTCTTCTTTTTCTGTGTGTTTTCTTTTCTTTACAATTGATTCGGTGAACAAAAGGCGTTCAGTCGGTAGGAATTGATCGGAACAAATTGCAACACTCGTCTTGACTTATGTACTAACATTTTCATTATTTGTATTTCTTTTGATTGTCATTTATACGGGCTGATCTTTGTCATATTTACTGCATTTCCTGCACCTTTGGTTGGGATTGATGAGCGTAGATTGTTTTTTTTTTTTTTTGTTATTTTTTACTCCGATTGACACAATCGTTTTGTTTGTAGTTGAAGATCAGTGAGAAGAAGGTATGATATTTTGATCGTATTTAGTATTAATAAAGCCAAATTAAAGTAGACTTTAGGTTTGCTTGGAAATGTTTGCTTATTCAATATTTAACATATAAGCAGTTGGGATTTCCTAAAACTTCGAGCGTCTAACAAATTTCAAAACAACATTGGCCTAAAAAAGGTCATACCATATATAAACTTCGGCTATCATTTCCCCGACGGAAGTATGCCCCGACAGAAGAGTTTAATGATATTCTCGTTGAGGGGAGTTAACAAATTCCCTCAGATGTAGTATCTGGCTGAGATTTTGGGCTCTTCTTAATCAACATGGCGGCTAGTGTGATCCGCACATCTTTTCGGCAGTATGGAAGCAATTTCTACCAGCTCCAACAAAAAGATAAAAGTTTATGAGGCAGGAATACAAACTATCAACCATATTTAGATATCCTACATTGACAGGCTGCAGAGAAAACCAGAGCAACTCTACTAACAGAAGATGGGTGCATCTAAATACACTGTGCCATCGCACCTTTTTTGACCGACACTTCAGAAACGAAGAGAAAACGTAGGTGGTCTCGGTATCTTTCGCAAAGTCGTCCCAATCAGCTTCGAAGACAGGATTTGGGTGACGTCTTACCGGGCAGCTTGGGACATATATTATGTACCTCAAATATTTCATGCTTAACATTGCCAGGCCGGATAACTCCGCAATGGTATTCGAGGGTGGTATCCTTCTATAAGACGATATTGTAAAGCCAATAGTAACCTATGCTTCCTTAGCACGGTGGAATAAGGCTGCACAAAGAACTGCAAGCACTAAACTAAGTAAATTGCACAAAATCGTTTGCACTGACATAGCAGGAGCTATGAAGACCTGCCCGGCTGATGCACTCAGCGCCTTGGTTGGAATACCTCCATTTCCTATTTTAATAGAAAAAGAGGCGACCACAGCGTCACTGAGAATTCCAAACACCTCCGATCTGAAAAATGGAAATATGACGGTCCACATGAAGGTCCTAAGGAAATTCGTTAATAACCCCATATTGTAAATGCGCGATCCAATAGTTCCAAAACTAGAAATCTCCAGGAAATTTGAGGTACACATTGCAGATCGAGCTCTCAGGAATGCACGGAACCCATACATCAAACCTAATGGGGAGGTTTTGTACACAGATGGATCTGAGCTTGAAGATGATAAAACTGGGGCTGAAATTTTTGGGTAGAACTTCAAAAAATCGATACCAATGGGTAGCTACCCCATCATCTTTCAGGCGGAGATTCATGCAATAGAAATTTGTGGCAGAGAATTGCTTAGAAGGGTCACATCATCGAAATATATCTGCATTATGTCGGACAGTCAGGCAGTCCTACTGGCTCTGAAGTCCCACAAAATAAGTTCTTCACAGAAACCACTCAATTTAGCCAGAGAGGACCTCAAAACTCTCACTGGGTACTAGACGGGACACTGCTGCTGCCAAAAATTGGATTTTGTCACATAAGCTCTTGGCTCAATCCTTATCCATTAGTCCTGAAATATACTAGCCAGAAAAGCGATTGCTTTATAAAAAAGGGAACTATTTTGAAATATGAGTGTTTTAACTCTATGGAAAATAACTTATGCAACTTCACATAAGCGGTTTTGCATTATCTTGATACGCGGTTTTGTACTTTAAACGACGATATGCAAATACATATCATCTAAGAGCGCTGTTAGGTGGTGCTACACTTAATCCGTTTGCAATTTGGAACAAAACGCTCTTGGAAGTACTAGGCTACATTTAAAGTCTTCCCATATAGGGCCGGGGCCACGCACAATAGATCAATTTAGAGGTCGCGGTGTATATGGCCCATAATAATTATAATAAGAGTGAAATATGTTGCTTATTACCGCCTGCTGTCCACCCTCTACCAGAAGGACCTTGTTCGCGCATGTCCTGGTTTTCGCCCCAAGCGTTGTGCTGACATGAGGCTAATATATCCAAGAGTGTATCACATGTGACCAGTGGCACCCCCCGCTGCTGCTTATCTAGCGATAACGTTTCAAGTGTACCTTTCCAAGACGATTCGTCAGCCACACAGTTCTCCGCAATTTTGATGGGATCTGGAACCCAAATCAGGCTAATCCAGAAGTATTCCGCCGCAACTGAGAGAGAGAGAGCAGACATTCTTTAACTAAATTGGAGTACACCTCCAAAGCAATGAAGGCCTTGATAATGCCTTGGCTCACCATGCTGACTATCATCGCACTTCAGAGAAGTGACTCCATCCTTAATAGCAGCAATTTCATCCTGAAATACACTGTAGAAACCTGGAAGCCTGAACTTAGTACTGATGGAAAGCTCTCGACAGAAGACTCCACCAGCCCTTCCGTCCAGTTTTGATCCATCCGTGAAGAAGTGCATTGCTCCACCTCTCCAGAAATTTTACCCGCCTAATCCTCCATTGTGGTTGCGCAGTAATAGATTTACATGCGTCTGAGGGCTTTCAACAAATCAGGCGAGCGTCATCCATAAGGTCAGAAAAAGCACCGCAGTCTGCACACACTTCCATTAGGGAAATTTTCTCTGGGAACGGTTTAGAATGAATATTAAGAGCGGGATTCCTAGCGAGTATACGCCTAAATCTAGAGTATTCATGACACCCATTTACGTTTTCGTAGAAAAACAAAAACTCTTTTCGCCTTTCTGGTCTCGAAATTGTAGATTCCCAGTCACTTAGAATGTTTCTAATCAGAATGTATCTTACACCTGCATACCCTATGGAATCATTGTCTGCTTGACGCCCCTAACGCAGAAAGCTCCTCCGTCTATCAAAGGGTTTCCTTCTGCCTTTCTGAAATCTCAGCGGACATGTGCATCGGACCCTAAAATGACGCCGGCTGTCCTTTGTATGGCTTCTGCTATAGCGCTCCTCGTTGGAGGTAGTTCTTTAAAAGTCTTCATTGCTGAAATTATGCAAAAGAAAAGCTTTTAGTTCACCTCTGATGAGCATACACGCCCTAGTCCTTCCTACATTGTTCGCCGTCTTTAGATTATATCTTTTTGCTCAGAGTCCAGAGAAACCATTACTACTCAACCACTGCTCTTGGATCAAAACCATTTCAGCTCCACCTTGCTCAAGGTTAGGACCGTAATTTATAACGGCCATAAACGGCATTTACCGGGAGTCGGAGTCAACTTTCACCAACTCTTGACCTTTGAATGCCGTTTTAGGAACACAACTACTCGACGTGGACAAGACAGAACTTCGTCTGCCGGCGATGACTCGCACTACCTTCTTAGCACAACTCCGCTCCGGATACTGCTGCAGGATAAACTCCTATCTGAGCAGGATAAACTGAGATGTGCTCAAAGAATGTCCGGCACGTGGGGCCACCACATGACTACGCACACCTCTTCGCATGGAAACAAGCCGATCTAGGCAGGCCTAAATAAGTCGATACAACAACAACGTCCCGGTCATTCCGTTGCGTACAATGAGTCAGTTCAGTAATGTAGTGGTATCAAAATTAATTTATCCATGTGTGAGTTGTTGTATCAGCTCTTGCTCATATTAGTATTTTTATTCTAATTTATAAAAAATGCGAATTAAAAAAAATAAACACCTTTACTTTTTAAGGCTGCTAAACACAGCTCACGCGATGCAAATTATGCAATTGGGAATTTTTGTCATAACCTCACAATCAGCTGTCAAATATTGGCACAATAACATAACATTGCATCGGTCATTCGTAGTTTTTAGTTTTATTAATATTTGTTATTAATTGTAAATAAAAATGAGAAAGGATCCGGTTGTAAATCGTGGCATAATGGGCTTCTTCCAGACAACAGCCGGACGCAATATTGCCTTTTTTGCCACAGGCGCCACTACCTTGGGCCTTTTTGTAGTGAATTATTTGCCGCATACAATGTGCTTGAAATACTACAAAGACTTTGTTCAATGCTATCAGTAAGTTAACAAATCATACAAAAATGTTTATTTTATGGAGAGTTTTAAATTATTTTCAGAAACGGCATACCACGCCCCGTGCCCGACAAGGTGAAAGCGCGTTTGGACAAAGCATTAGATATACTACAATTACAAGAATATCAACGAAAGATTATTAAACCGTTTACAGTTTTCGGTTTTGATCTCTTCTTGGCAGGTATTTAAATAATTGAGTGCTATCAATTTACAATTGTTGTTAACTGTGTATGTACGCACATGAAATAGGTTCAACAAAGTACCGATTTGGTGCCGCTCTGGGAATCCCTGTGAATTATTCCTACTCCGAAAAAGAGGAAGTAAATCGACATGATATCCGCTTCCGCGATCAAACTATTCAATGGAACACAGAAGCTGGAAACTTACTACTGGATGCAATTGTGTTATCAGAAGACGAGCAATTGTTTGGATTGTGCAAATCAATTCTACAACTACAAACACACCGAGTTTTATTGAACTCGGTATTTCCAAGTGTCTCCTTTTTGACAGTTTATACAATTGGCCATTACCTAAATGCGCGAATGAACCTTTTCGCGAGACCTTTCAGCGTAAGTTCTTTTTACCTCTTGCTACTAAGATTTATGTAATTTAACATCTCATTGCAGTTGCGCCTTGTTATGTATTCGATATTGGGATTGTTTGGTTTTGGTACATGGTCTTTTATGAAAGACTTTAACCAAGTACGCTACGATACAGAAATCGATAAACAGTTGTGCAGTTTGGGCCCGAAATTTGTCGAAGCAGGAGCGAGTTACTATGACAAGCTTTTAAAGAAAAACATGGCGCTCCGCGAATTAATCGGGGATGACACCTATACAGCTAAAGGCAATGAAAACTATTTCATCCGTCAAAAGTCTCTACCTCTGACAATACATAAATCTTATTTTGAGGAAAAACTGCGCGAACTACGACAAAGCTCAGAAGGATCGGCGGAGATACCAAATTAAAATAAGACTTACAAGGATATGCAAATGTTATTAGTTTTCCCTATAAATTTATTGTCGAGTTTTACCTATGATTTCTTTATTTAAATTTTAAAATTAAAATGTCGTTTAAATAAGGTATACTTTGGTTTTAGGCCCTTCCCAATGGAATAATAAAACTCATATAATCTGCCATTGCACCCCATTCTGCACGCTTTGTTTGGAATACTATAATCCAACTAATAATGATTGCGACCCAAATGAGTGCGCCTATCAGCGATAAAATAACATCTAAAAATTTAATGTTAAAATTAGTTACAATTCGAATTTATAGTATTTGCTATGGGGCTTACATCGCTTTATCTTCGCTTGTTCAGGATATTCAGGTTTTCGGAATGCTTCGTTGAAAAACCAGCACACGTTGATGGCCCAAACAAATGGCAAAAAAGCCCATCCAGCTGAGAATAAGTAGGAAGAAATTCAAAACTTTAATTTGTACGTATTAATTATTATTATTTCCCTAGCTTTATACCTCTGAAGTAATTTTGGCACAACTGCAATTTTCTTTCGTTCGTTGCTTTGGAAATGTCCATATTCTTGCGACGATATTTGTTAAAAAATACACAATCAAATAAATAAATCTTCGAATCACTTCGAATTCGAATGATGACAATGGCCAGCTGGTAAAAACAAAAATGTCATGTTGCATGTTGTAGGAGTGTTGCCCAACTCTCAAACTCATTGCTTGACAAAAATGGTTTTATTGTAAAAAGGTAATTTAATTAAAATGTAAAATGTTTTAATAATTCGAATGCTACATTTGTAAATAAACTCATTAAAGTGTTAATACAGGAAAGACATTTTTTTTGTTTTTTGTGTCATGCACTCGACAGCTTGCGTCAAGCCTGTGTCAGTAGGATATTTTGCATATTTGTGCTTGATTGGTCTTCGTTAAACGGCGTTGGTGAAATATTTGAACGCGCAAAAGGTGAAGTGAAAATTTTGAAAGGTTAAAAATTAATTAAATTCCGCAATTAAAATGTCTGAAATTGATAATTTGGAGTCTCTAAGCAACGCGGATTTACGAAAAAAGTGCATACAGCATGGATTGCCCAACGTTCCGATAACGGACTCAAGCCGAAATTTGTTAATTAGAAAACTACGCGCCTCGTTATCAGGCTCGCCGGCGGCGTCGTCTCCAAAAAAAACTTCCCGTCGTGAGACTATACACGTCTCTAAAACCACCGAATCGGCTGAAGTTAAAGATGAAGTAAAAGTAGATTCAGAGCGTCGTACTCCCAGTAGGGGTCCGAGTAGACGCACAATTGCCGGTACACCAACACTCGACTTGCAAAAACCAAGTGAATCTCAAGCCACGGACACTATTGTTCCAGCTCCCATTGGCACACGCCGACGATCAACTCGTGATCATGAAATACCACCATCTCAAAAGGATAACAAACCGTCGAAGACCTCTAATCCTGTTTATATACTTGAAAGTGATGAAGAGGATAACAATTTAATATTGGCAGCTGTACAGGAATTGGAAAGATCCAAGCAGAAACCGGTAGCAAAGGAAGTGAATGCACGTTCACGTTCATCAAGATCAGTTTCTTTGTCAAAAACGGGCGTCGTAACGACATCGTACAGTCAAGCAACTGCTAAGCCATTGCCGGAAGTTCCCGAGGTAATATTTTTCAGATCATGAACTTACATACATATATGTAAATATTCAAGCCATTTATTTTCCAGGTCTCTAACCGTAATTTAACGTCAGAGAATTTACCACATGGAATATATAAGCCCCAAATTAATGTGAATAGCGGCCGCTATAGCTTGCACCCGAACCTTACGCAAAGGACCAACATTGGATTGAGTAAAGAAGTACCATCTATTTCGCGCTACAGTACAAACACCCTTACTAGTGGGTTATATACATCAAAAGCTACACCTCTGTATAATGAACAAAGCGACGATAATGAGGAGGCTGATAAACAAGATTTTGAAACGCCCTTTTTGAGCAGTTTTGCACGCAACTTAGAGCGACTAAAGTCCGACGGGGTAGTATTAGGTAAACCGAGTGTCTTGGGCACTACTGATTTTGGTGGGGAGTACTCTTCACCTCGTCCAATACAACGTTCGAAGCGGTATGACATTATTGGGCGTCGCCCCGCACGGGATTCTGTGACTGAGTCTTTCCGTCAATTGTTGATTGCATTGGATCGTAAATATAACCTTAGGCTTTATCTCATCCTTGCAACGATCTTTTTGGTGTTGGCATTTATTTATGTTATTTTGTATCAGTAAACACGTCTTTTTGATTGAAATATGTAATTTGTATGTAACAGCATTTATGTTAAAAGTTTTTATTTTAATTTGCAAGTGTCCAAAAAATGTCTAAAAATTCTCGTAGTAAATATCGCTGCTTTTAAAGAGTAAATTAATCGAATTTTCTTTTTTTACTAAGGATTTTGTAGTGTTCATCGGTCTGTTTAAGGAATTAAGCATAGTAAACAACCCCATGTAAATTGTAAGCCCGCAACAAATTTTCTTAAATATATTTTACAGGCTTGCAATATACTAATGGCCTTATTCATAAAAAATAAAGTAGCTTTATAAAAGGTTTATAAATTGAAAAATGTATGAAAACTTCAATTTATAAAGCTCTTTAAACCTACTTTATTTTTTATGAATAAGGCCATAAATTTTTAATTCAACACAATAATTTTTTCACATTTAAACCTTAATTTTTATAATAAACCTCCCGACTGCGTTCATCCAGCTATGGGATTTGCATGTATGGTGACGCTGTTTATTTTCTTTTCAAGATGTGGACGATATGTTTTGGGATTTACGGGCAGTTTTTCTAGTTCATCTAACGCGTCAAAGCCGTCTATCACTCTGCAAGTAAAAATACATTAAATGTGGCAAAAGTTAGTATTTATCTACTAACCTTCCGAAGAGTGTATATTTCAGGTCTAGATTTGGTTGTGCCGCATATGTAATGAAAAACTGACTGGCGTTAGCGTTCGGACCATTATTAGCCATTGAGACCATGCCCCGATCGGAATGCTGGATGGATATCAAATATTATTTAATGTTCCTTGATGGCTTTGTCGTAAGAAAATACTATGCCAACCTTCAACGTATCCTTAAATTCATCTTCAAATTTTGTGTCCCATATCGACTTCCCGTTTTTGCCAGTATTTGTTGGGTCCCCGGTTTGCACAATGAAACCTTTTATATTCCGAATAAAAGCACATCCGTTGTAGTATTCGCTTGCACATAGCGCCAAGAAATTGTGGCACGCCTTTGGGCAATCCTCACAGAAAAGTTCGATTTTAATATCGCCTACGTCTGTGTGTAAAGTGATAGACTGTAAAAATTTTTATCAGAGAAAGTGTCCATATTGATATATGACAAGAATTGTTGCTTACCATTGTGCAGAATAATCAACAAAAACACTGCAAAAATAAATAGAGCGATTGGAGGCAAAATTAGAGCTGTAGCAAACCGTATGTATTCGTTACGTTACCAAGTAACGGGTGCGACCCCTGACTCAAAGTGCTCGGAACTCGTATTCGACGAATATTAGGGGTCTTCATCTAAAGAGATAAAGGGATAAATTGATTACATATATCAGTTTATCCGCATTCTTTAATGAACACAATTGAGTACGGGTTGTTGTTGTTGTTGTAGCAGCATACAAATTCCCCAAAGACTTTTTGGGGAGTGTTGCTGGAGTGACAGTCCTTGGCCAGATATAAATCTGGGTCGTTCCGGTTACGTAGACCCGACTGTCGTGGGAACAATGAACACAATTGAGTACGGGTCTTCATCAAAGGTGATAAACTGTTGATAAACTGAAATGATTGATAAATGAACTGTCAAACTTTATATGGAAATCTATTTAACCACAGTTTATCACTTTATCAAATGATTTTGGTGGATAAATGTATAAATTTCAGCGAAATTCAACGTTGACAGGTTACCAGGTGGTCGCTTTTGCTACGAACACATAAAAAGCAAATGAACCAAATAGACGAGGTGAGAATAAAATCGTAACTAGCCATATAAGTTAAATAATAAACAATTTTATGCAATTATTTACCAAGGTGCGTTCATGAAAGAATGCGGATAAACTGATAAATTTTAGCAATTTATCGCTTTATCACTTGAGAAGACCCCTAGTAATTATTGCACAAAATTGTTTGTTATTTAACTTTTCTGGCTAGTTACGTTTCATTCGTACCTCGTTGATTGTGCTAATTTGCTTCTATGTATTCGTAGAAAAATCGGCCACCTGGCAGTCTGTCAGGATTGCATTTTGGTGAAATTTATACGTTTATCCACCAAAGTCCTTTGATAAAGCGATAAACCTTGGTTAAATAGATTTCCATACAAAGTTTGACAGTTCATTTAACAAGATGATAAATTTATCATATATTTTTCAACAGTTTATCACTCTTTATGAAGAACCCTATTGTATATTCAATCAAGATTGTTTTGTCAACACGATTTCTCAAGCAAATCTCACAGTGGCTATAAAACTGTTGCCAATTTTTAACTTGGACCCTAACAACAATACCCCTCAGATCGGTTGATATCTCAGTCGTTGTCGACAAGTTCCACTAACGGCAGCCCTAAGAGGCGTGCAGCCTCTAAAGGGTCGGTCCACAGGGACAACGCCGTTAGGGTTGTCGGGTTTTCCGGGCATGCGAAGAGATGTTTCGAGTCGTGAGAGGTCTTTCCGCATACCGGACACTCATTTGGCACATCCGCATTTAGTCTGCTCAGGTATGAGTTTAACCTGCTGCAGAAGCCAGAGCGAAGTTGGGCTATTGTGGTTCTTGTCTACCGAGGCAGATGAAGCTCCGTCACGTCAATGTCCGGTGGTTGTGTGCCTAGAACGGCATTCACAGGTCTAGAGTCTTCATAAGTCGAGACTGCGTCCCTGTGAACGCCGTTCAGGGCCTGTCGGTATGCTGACGGGTCCAGAGGTTGCTTAATGAACATCTGGACTTCGTCCGTCAGTTCGTATAGATGCCTCCTGACGTGCCTAGGCGAGGGCTTCTCTGCAAGCAGCTGTCTGTTTGAGTGGCCAAATCTGTGGCTCCCAACCAGAAACTGCTTGCAGAGCATTATGTTATGCTCCTTGATTGGGAGCATTTTCGTCTCGTCATGGAGGTGGTGTCCAGGCGACATCAGGAGGCATCCAGTCGCTGTCCTGAGTGCGGTGTTCTGTGCTATCTGTAGCTTCATCCACTGCGCCCTACTAGTCCCCGGCGACCACACTGGGGCTGCGTAGTTTAAAACCGGCCGGCCTATTGCCTTGTATATTGCCAGCAACGTTTCTTTGTCTTTGCCCCAAGTACTGCCATACAATACCTATGTACTTTGTTGACAATAGCGGTTGCGTGCGCAGAGAAGGAGAGCAGGCTGTCGAATGTTACTCCGAGTCTGTTGGGGTTATTCACCGTCGGAATTGGTGTGTCATCGACGTGAATTCCCAGCGGTAGCCTGACCTCCTTCGTCCAGGTGGTGAACAAGGTCGCAGAGGATTTCGTAAGGGAGAGGGCTAGACACTTTGCAGTGAAGAAGCGAGAAAGTTCGGAGAGATACCCGTTTACTTTCGAACAAAGGTCATCAATTCCATTCCCAGTCGCCATGATCGAGCAATCGTCGGCGTAAGAGACAATCGAGACTCCCTCTGGTAGTTGAGGGAGCTTTGAAATGTAAAAGTTGAACAGTAGCGGGGAAAGGACACGACCCTGTGGAACCCGTTTTGTTTTCCTAGGTTTACTCGATTTGTCTCTAAACATTACCGACGAGTGTCGAACACTCAGACAATTTGCCGACCACCGTTTGAGCCTCTGTGGGAGAGAGGAAGCCTGTATATCTTCTAGTAGCGTGGATTGGCTGACAGTGTCAAATGCCTTTGACAGGTCCAACGCTATTAGAATCGTTCTCTCACAGGGACGGTTTCGGTTAAGGCCACGAGTTATCTGATTGTTTAAGGCGTTAAGTGCTGTTGTTGTACTGTGCACTTTACGAAAACCATGCTGATGCTTCGCTGGGGTCAAGTGGTTTGTGAAATACGGGAGTAGCAAGGCCTCGAGTGTCTTCGCTACCGTCGAAAGGAGTGTTATCCGACGATAAGAATCTCCTATGTTGGCAGGTTTCCCCGGTTTGAACAGTGGGACCACTCTCCCCACCTTCCACATGTCTGGGATGATGAGAGTGGCCATAGACAAATTGAGGACCCCCGTTAGGTACGCTACCCCCGCAGGACCCAAATTGTTCAGCATCATCATGCATATTCCGTCGGGACCCATGGCTTTGGAGGCTTTCGCCTTCCCGATGGCCACCTGAACTTCGCCGCAAGGGAAAGCAAGGGGGGCACAAGTTATTGGCAGTTTGTGCCACCTTCGTGTCACTCGACGCTTGGCTTTGTCCACCGGAGGATGCAGTATGAACTGCCGGCTAAAATAGCTCGCGCATCGCTCCGGGTCCGACGAAGCATGGTCGCCGAAGGAAATTTCGACTCTGTCGTCGTGCTTCGTCGGATTGGACAGTGACCTCACGGTTGACGGTTGGTCTGTGGTGTTATTATGTTGTTGTGCTGTGGTGACTGTCTGAGGCTGCTCAGGTGGACTGAGGTTAGCCGTGGAGGCTGCTCTGTTTGAGCAACAGTGGGCCACGTACGACGTGGTCCACTGTCGATGTATCCGTAGTCCTGACTCTAAGGTGACTCCACCCCTCGCAGGCATTAATTACACTTGACTGAGGTGGAGTTGTGGTGTAGTCGTCTCTGGCATATACAGCAGGTGTAGATTTCTGGCCCTGGGTTTGACTCGATGCCAGCCCTGAGTAGAAGAATACGTAGAACCGGCTGTCGTGGGAATGACTCTGATGCTTTGGCTTGATGCATTTCTGAACGCACCCATATTTGTATGTATTCTAAATGTGAACCAAATGGGATCAAAAATATGGGTTTTCCAAATATCTCGATTCCTGCACCACCTATCGGCACAATTTAGCGTAGAGTTATTTCTTTTTATGTAAGTAATATATATTCTAAATATGAATGAAATCGGTCCATAAATGCCGGTTTTTCAAATGTCTGTAATAAAAAAAGACACTGGTTTTTTTCATCCGTTTTATTACACAAGTTCATTTACGATTTAAATAATTTTTATAATGTTTTTTTCCTGTTTTATATTAGTCCTGTTGAATACTTAGACGTAAGCAAATTAATGACAATTGAATGGAGATGTATTTTTGAAATGAATCAAATAATTTGCGGAACTTTTTATCAATGTTTAATATTTGTTAATTTACGAAACAATAATTCTTTCCCAAACCTTGTAATAAACGGAATACACTAAAAATAATCGATAAAATAAAATAAGTTCGAATAATTCAAAATTTGCAAGTTTAAATTTTATGAAGGAAAAATAATTAAATTCAAAATAATAATGGAATTCATATATAATGTTGTTAGTAAAATTAATAAAGATGTAATTTTTTTTTAATCATATGTGTAGGAGTTGAATATATAATTCGCCTAACAGTAATTTTTTTTTTGTTTTATACATTTTTAATTTTTTTTACATTTTCATAATTTTTTGTATATTATTTTGTAATGGATTTTAAATAAAGTACGATAATTTTGCCTTTACTCTTAACTTTTTTCTGCAAGTTGACATATAGTATGATGTGCATAGCTCAGACTTTTAAGGTACATGCAAGCATTTGTCCCTTTTAATTAAAAAGTGCTTAATAGTTAGATGGTAATTTCAGATGTTTATATTTGTCCCTTCGATGTTTTTAAGGCTGAGCCAGCACCACATACTTGGATCTGGATATTATTGATTTTACATGTCAGCTTAGTCTTCAATATGGTAGATGAAGAAGAAATTCTCAGAATCTTTAGCAGTAGCTGGTGGTGCCATCGGCGACTTTCTTGATAACGGCTGGAAGCCCATAATCAAGAATGTCTCCAGGAGACGTGCGCGATCTGATCGGTTCTTGCGTACACACAATACAACCGCATCTACATCCAATTTCTCCTCTGCAAACTCTAGCAAGGAGATGAATGTATCCTTTGAAGCCTCCGGTGGTAGCTCCTCAGGCATTGCAACGTACAAGATGTTATTTATGGGGTTCAAAACCTG